TAGGTGGCGCTGGTCCACAGCCAAGAGCTATATGTTTTATTAAGATTTGAAATGACATTGTTCATCCATTCATCTGCTGAAGGGCACCCAGGTTGGTTCCATAGTTTTTTGTGCGTGGAGCTGCTATAGACCATGTTTTGGCTGTGTCACTGTAATATGCTGATTGTAAGTCCTTTGAGTATAAACCGAAGAGTGGGATGGCTGGGTCAAATGGTGGTTCCATTCCAAGTTTTCTCCTGAGTCCGGGTGGCAGCACCACCCAAGCCCCCCTTGGCACCCTTTTCAAGGTGGACAACATGGGGTGGATGGGGATGTTTGTCACACCAGCCCCATTACGCAGTCTCCAAGGTCCTTTCTAGTGCCAGCTGACTGAAGTTCAGAGTCCTCGCACATATGCTGCCCCCATAGTGGGGATACACCTAGGAGGAGCTTAGAAGGCCAAGCACTGCCATCTCCAGGATAGTTGATCTGACCCGAGCATCTCATAGGATGTTCGACAGAAATGCAGGCAAGTTAGGCATCATTCTGGTTTTAAAGACATTTCAAGAATTTAAGACATTAGCCAGGTGTGGCGGCTCATGCCTGCAATCCCCGCAACTCAGGGAGGCTGAGGCAGGAGGACTGCAAGTTTGAAACCAGCCTCAGCAGCTAAGCAAGGCCCTGTCTCAAAACATTAAAAATTAAAAATGGGCTACAGATGTTGCTCAGTGGCTAAGCCCCCCTGGCTTAAATTCCCAGTTTAAAAAAAAAAAAAGAAATCAAAGAGTCTTATAGGAAATGCAGGCAACTTGGCACCATCTAGGTTTGCCAAAGCAAGGGGCGGGGCCAGAAATGAGACAGCTGAGGTGGTGCCGGAGCCTTCCAAGCCCACAGAAACTGTGCACTCTCCCCAAGGCCTGCCACCAGCAGGGCCATCCCTTAGGACAGTGCTTGAAGGAGTCTGAGCAAGGGACATGCGCAGGGCCTGAAGGGCAACGTGGGAGGCCAGAGGACAGCTGGAGGTTAGGCGTGGTCCAGAATGTGGGTGACTCTGGAGGGGCTCAGAGGTGGAGGCAGCAAGCCTGTCTTTGGGTCATTGGATGTGGGGGGCGAGAACAGAACTGGTCTAAGTTGATGTGCAGACTTCTGGCTCAGCATCTGGGGGTCCACCTGGGAGGGACCAGGCTCCGGGGAAGGAGGAGCAGGTTACAGGACAGATCCTGGTGCAGACACCTATGGGCGGTCAGCAGAGCGCCAGACTTGGGTGGCGTCATCCTAAAAATGAAACATGCAGACCCAGGAGTGGTGTGTGAGTGGGAGTGGAGGGACGTGGGCAGCAAAGGAGCGCCCATGGGAGAGCCCAGCGGGCAGCAGGGCAGTGAACAGCTGGTTCTTAAATGCACCTTATGAAAAATGAAAAATGCCAGCAGAGTTGACCACGCACATCAAGGGCCATGTTTACCGTTGTGCTCGGGAGGCTCCAAGGTGTGGGTTGGCATCCGCCATTCGCAGATCACAGTAGCTCCCATCCTTGCAGGTGACCCTGCATCCATTCGTCCCGCTGCTTGGTCCCCGTGCACAGTAGTTGCTCTGAGTCCCTGTCAGGTGTGAGGGCCTGGAGAGGGCTGGTGGACTCGTGCTCCTGATTTGCCACCCTAGTGTCCTTGTGAGAGTCATACCCTGACATGAGGAAGCCGTGTGCCCTGGGTGCTGTCGGGCCTGGGTATGCCCTTCGGTTCAGGTAGGCTAACCAAGTCCAGCCCTTGGCCTCAGCCTCCTCACTGCCAGCTCGTCTGCAAAGGGGTCTGCATAACCCCAGGCACAGCTGCGTCACCTGTAGACCTGCATGGTCTTCAAACCACTGCAGAGGGAGGTGCTGCTTCCTGCTCCTGTACAAACGAGGAAGTGACGGGCCAGGGAGGTGACGGGCTCATCCATCCCACACCTGAGCCCGGGCCTTACATCAGGGCCTCCCGAAGGGACCCACTAATTGGGATCACCCAGGAAGCCCCTGTACACGGGGCATCCCTGGGTCTCGGTGGTGAGATTTGGAAAGGCCCTACCCTCTCCACACTGGATTTTGAATGGATTTGAGGAGAAATAACCATAATGAGGACTTCCTGAACAGTTAGACCAGAAGTCATCAAACTTTCTTGGAAAAGCCAGAAAGTAAATGGTTGGAGCTTAGCAGGCTGTGTGGTGTGGTCTCTGGCCCCCACTGCAGTTTCAAAGCAGCTGTAGGCGACAGGCAGACAAGTGGACGTGACTGCACTTGGCCTGTGAACCATAGTTTGCTTACTCTGATCTGAATAATTTGCACTATGTGTGATGATCCAACAAGTGTGAATTTTTCACACTCCAGGGGGTGTTTCGGCTTCTATAAGAATACACCCAAGCTGATATGGTCTCTTTAAAAACGTTATCAGATCAGAATTGCATTCAGCTGTTAGTACAAAGACCCCTAAGACATTAGCCTGAACAATTAAGGACTATTTCTCTTTTGTTAAAACAAATTTGGGGGGTGGCGCTGGGTTGTGGCTTAGTGGAAAAGCAATTGCCTGACATGTGTGAGGCACTGGGTTCGATTCTTAGCACTACATATAAGTAAAATAAAGGTCCATCGACAACTAAAAAAAAATCTTTAAAAATTTTTATTTTGATTAATTAATAATTGGTGGGATGACTCTCCTCAGAGACCCAGAGTCCCTCCTGTTTCTCAAGATCACCTCATGATCACAAGATGGCTCCTGGAGTACCAGTTATCACATCTGTGTTTGAGGGAGAAAAAGATAGAACAGCAAAATGATACTTGGTAGCTGAGTCAGATCTCTCTAGAGAACTTTCTTTTATAGATTAGAAGTCCCCACTGATTTTTGCTCTTAGTTCATTAGCCACTCTTAACCTGTAAGGGAGACAGAAAAAAAAATTAGTTTAAAAGTTTTTTTTTCCTCTTTTTTTAGCTGAATACATTGCTATCCCCAAGAATATCAGGGGGAAATAGGTACTAGATGGGTAACTGGCACTTGCTGTCACTCAAGAGTAATGCACTAAAGTCCCTTGAGCTCTTCTAGGTTTATTTAACTGATGTATATGTCACTTGTAGATTGTGGAAATATAAGATCCAGATCTCAATAACCAGCCGAGCCTTCCAGGTGCTTTTGGGGCTCAGTATATAAATCGAATATCCATCCCGCCAGTCACCATCCACTGTGTGCACAACCAAGACAAGAAACATTTAATACATACCTTTTCCTCTTCGGACAGCTTTGGCTGCTAGAAATTTCTTCCCCCTAAAATTGGTCTTGTCTTTTCCACCTGCTGAAAGTCTGTTTCCTGAAACCCTCTGGACACGTTTAGCGGGTCTCTCCTCTTTGCCGTGGCAGCCTTTCCAGGGATTGGGAGAGCTCACCTGCTTCCTCTGTTCCTGGGTGTTGTCATCCTCCTGGTCGCCATCTTTCTTCTGATTATTTGAATATCACCTTCCCAGGCCTAGTGCCTCTCAAAGTGTACAAAGTGTGAATGATCTACTGGGAGTTCCTGTTGAAATGCGGGTCTTGAGTCAGTTTGCTGGGGTGGAGCCCAAGATTCTGCATTTTTGACATCTTCCCATTGATGCCAGTGCTGCTGGTCCAGGGACCACAGTTTGAGTAGCATGTGATCTGGGCCTTTCTGAACAAAGATCATCTCATAATAGGTGGCAAGCAAACCCATCAAGTAGGACTGGTGATTTAGAATGGAGCAGAGCCATCAACTCCTCTATTCTGGAAGTTCATGTCTTTTAATGAGGACACAGGTCACATGGGCTTTTCCTGGTGGCCCTCCTCCTGGTGCACTTAGCTGGAGCACCGAGCCCTCCTCTGTTCCCCAGGCCCCTGCTGTACGTGTCCTCCCATGGTGTTAGGACCCCACGTTGATCTGTAGAATTTCATCACGTTGAATTAGATCCCTCAGGCCAGTCGAGAGCACTTGGTGTCTGTCACCAGTATGTTTACTGTCTCTCTTGGCTTGGGGGCTTCTGTAAACTTGATAGGCCTCCTGTTTCTCCATCTAATTCCACTGGAAACTTCTGCCCATTAATTGAAATTTTTTGGCACAAACCTTCCTTGCCCGTGTTCACAGGGATATTGTGAGAGACCCTGACTGACGTTCAAGGACATCATGTCCACATTTGGGGATCACAGGTGGTTTCACCTAGAGGCAGAATTCATCACTCACATCAGAGATGTCTATTTTTATGGTTAAAGATATTCCTAACATGTGTATTGACGTTTACTTGTTGCAAATGACAACAGCCATTTCTCACTGGGGATTTTACTCCCTGGGCTGTTTCGACTCATGTAATTTCTTGGTGCGTTGCTTTCTGGGATGTGGTTGCCATGTGTCCCTGGGAGATGCTGGGGCCAATCAACGCTGATGAAGGAGCCCTTGCATTGGTGCCCCCACGGCTTTCACTGGGAAGTCACAACTTAATTAAAATAAGGAAGTTTTATGTCCTGGTGTGCTCATCCCATCTGGAGGTGACCTTTCCTCCGAGCTGTCGAGCAGATCTCAATTCTGGTGTCAATCCCAAATCTAATCCCAGCTCCTCCCTGCGGAGGTCTTCGTGGCCCCAGGAGGAGGCTCGCCGTTGCTGGGTGACCCACCGCTCTCAGCTTGGTTGTGTGGATGGGAAGAGGGTGGCCAGTGAGGTGGCCTTGCTGTTCCCAGCAGCCTGTTGGTGCAGCAGCACCCACGGGACAATGTGGAAGTGTCTGCTGCTAAGTGCGCTGTGGTCTCTGCTGCCGTTGGGGAAATGGCACACAGCGTGATGTCCTTGCCCGTCTTTCCTGTGCCTGTTTGTTCAGCCAGTGCCACTGAGGCCCTGCTCTGTGGCATGCACACGGCACCCCGTGGAGGTGACACAGACTTGGCCCTTCTCTCGAGGAGCTGGTTTTCCTGGGTGGCATGCTGAGAAAGCCTGCCCCTGGTGCAGAGCGTGGTGAGAGGGAGGAGTCCACGTCTCGTCTTGCTTTCCTTGGCAGGTCTACATCCGGATAAAGGACGACGAGTGGAACGTCTACCGGCGGTACACGGAGTTCCGGAGTCTGCACCACAAGCTGCAGAGCAGGTTCCCCCAGGTGCGGGCCTACAGCTTCCCACCCAAGAAGGCCATCGGGAACAAGGTACGTCCTGCGCAGGGCCGGCCGCCCTCCCACTGCCTGAAAACATGCTTTCTAAAGAAAGTTGGCCAAAATAAGAAAAAATAGAAAAGAGAAAATAGTCTGCTGGCTCCAGCCACCCTAGGTAGCCACTGCTGTCCCTCCCAGGGCGGGGACAGCGACAGCTCCAGTAAGGGCCAAGTGCAGACACTTCGGCTCTGTGACCACACGTTTCTGCCACAGGCCCCCTACCCGCCACGGTGGCAGGGACACTCTGGACAGTGCGGATACCCAGGTGGCAGCTGGGGTTGGCCTGTGGGTCCAGTTTGCGGTCGCTGTCCTGGACAGTGGCCTTTCTCATTTGCATCCACAGCTGTGCTATTCACCTGGCCGCGCCATGGGGCCAGCACTTGCTTGGGGGCTTTCTTTATCGTAGGGTCACCCCATCAAGAGGGCAGTGATGCATGTGACCTGGCTTGCTCCAGGGGTTGGTCCCAGTGCCCTGAGGGGAGGCGCACCCACAGCCCCACTGGTAGAGGGGTACACCCTGGTCCAGCAGGAAGCTCTTGAGCACCTCTTCTTGTCGCCGTGTGAGGGGCCAGCACTGGACAGGACAGCATGGGCTGGGCCCGGTGTGGAAGCCTATTCACGGTCTGCTGCCCAGCAGCTGCCACCCCTTGCCCACCCCACTGTTTGCTTGGCTGCATTTGGGCCACCTGGAGCCTTGGGATCCACCGCCCCCGCCTCCCGGCCCATTCTGATTTCACCACTCTGGAGCGAGGCCTGGGCCTTGAGGGGTCGGGGGCTCTCTGGATGCTATGGTCCACGGCTGAGCTGGGGAGCCGGGCTCAGGCAGGAGGTGGAGGTTCTTCAGCAGCGTCAGCGCATTAGGTGGCAGGGCAGGGGCAGTCCGATCCCATGAGGTGGAGCCGTGAGCCTCCTCAGGAAAGGAGCTGAGACTGTACGAGCCTGATCCCTGGGGGACGGTGGTGGGTCTCCAGGTGTGGCCTCCACCTGGCCCGTCAGCATCCCCGGGGGCTTGGCAGACATGATGACATGCACATTGTTTTCTTCCTTTTTGTGATGCTGGGAATCAAACAGGGTTTTGCACACACCAGGATGCCACTAAGCTACACCCCCAGCTAAAAATGCAGGTTCTCGGGCTCCACCCCAGACCTGCTGATCCCCAGCTCCAGGGCTGAGACCTGCAGTGTGGCTTAACCAGCAGGCAGTGCTGATGCCGGGCGCAGTGGGAGGCAGCCGGAGACCCCTGTCCTGTCCCATGGACAAAACAGGGGCCAGGTCCGGGTGGTGGATTTCCCACGTCTCTCTCCAGGGGGACCTTGGCAGGATTTCCTCGGACCTCTGTCATATAGCAAGAGTTTGTATGACCCACTGCCCGCCCTTGGAATTCCACAGGGACAGCCACTGTCACTGGCTGGTACATCGACTTGGGCATGGATTTATGAGTTAAAAATGCTAGGAATCTGACCCCCTAGAGGTCTACTGGGTTTCAGCAGGAATGGTTTTAAAGCAGATTCTCTCAGGTTGAGAATAAATCTATGCTTCATTTTTCTATTGAAGAACAAACAGTGGAACTGAACCCAAACACATACAAAACTTGTTTGTAGCAAGGAGTACAATAATTCTTTTGAAAAGAGGATGGAAAATTACATATTGATTTAACCTAATGACTTGTAGGCTCATACAAAGCTTGGGACCCATCCAGAACGTCTAAAAATGTCATAAAACAGAAGTCAGACTACATAGCGCATTATCATCATAAGATTTTCTCATTGGCAAAGGTCTTACCTGACACCCTCCTCATTGAGCCTGCCCTGTCTGCAACTGGCTGAGGCACCTCCAGTACAAGGCTGCACTGAGGGGATTCAGAGAGTAGAGGATCTAGTGTGAGCTTCCTATTGCTGCTGTAACAAATCAAAAACACAAGGGCCTGAAGGAACAGATTCATATCTTACAGATACAGAGGTCACAAGTCCAGAATCTGTCTGATGGGGCTAAAATCGGGGTGTTGGCAGGAAGGGTTCCTTCTGAGGCCCCAGGAAAGAGTCTCTGGCTGTTCTGCAGTTTTGGCTCGTGGCTCTCTTCTGTCTTCCAGGACTGCAGTCATGTCACTGTGACCTCTGCCTGTGTCCTTCTTGTCACCTCTGCTTCTCACCTTCTTTTGATGGCAGTGAACCCCTCCAGCTCACCTCCCATCTCAGGACCCTTCTTTGAGCCATGGCTGCTAAGTCCCTGTTGCCAGGGAACGTGACGGGGATAAGGAGGGAGATGGCCTGGGGCACCCTTCAGCCAGCCACATGCCCTCGTGGCTAGATGCACCTCCATTCTGACCCTGCACCTCCCCGAGTCCTGCAGTTACACAAACCTTGTTTAAGATGAAACAAGTCCATGGTGAGCACCGGCCCTGAGAGCACTGGGTGGGGACAGAGCTCAGTGAGCTGAAGCTCACTCAGGCCTGGAGAGCAGAGGGTACTCCTGGCGTTGAGTGACCTAGGAAGAAGGCATGGAGCGCTGGGCCCATCCTGTCTGCATGGGGCCTGTGAGCAGGTTCTCTTTGCAGAGGGCCATCCAGGGCCTCCTGCCTCCCTCCACCCTCCCTTACCTCCAGGCCAGGAGAGACTCGTCCCTGCAGGTCCTGGGACTGAGTGCCAGTAGCAGTGGGCTTTCCTCTGTGAAGCTGGCGTCACTGGAGCAGTGGCTGCTTGTGCCCCAGTAACTTGATCAGCAAATGTCTGCGCTCAGGGAGGCAGGTTGGCCCTGGCTAGCTAGTCACCAGATGGACTGCCCTGTTCCCGGGGGACAGGGGTCCTCTCCAGCCTGTGCTGCCCTTTAACATGTCACTGGCTGGTTGGACAGCGATTGTGCTCTGACCCCTCTTCCTCTGCGTCTGGGCTAGGATGTACCCCCTTCCCTTTAGTCCACTTGGGCTGTTGCCCAGGACGTCTGAGCAGTTCTTCCCGTTGTCAGGAGGACTGAGTCGGGTGCAGGACATTTAAGGACCAGCAGAGGCCACGGATGAACTCAGTTAAGGTCAGACTCGGGCAGCCCCGACTGGGCCTGAGACCCTGAGGGCACGATTTCTGGAGTGCTTTGATTCTAAACTGGCCCAGAAAATACAGCCACATCAGAATCTTCCCCTTGACTGGACAGCTTCAGGGTGACTCCATGGTCTGCGTGGACCACTGGGGTGCACACCAAACCCAGTGAGTGGATGGATTGTGGGTGAGCTGGAGCTTGCGTGCCGTGTTACCCTGCGCCGTGGTCTGTTAACAGACTCCAGAATCCAGAGACCTGAGCGTTAGTCAGGGAAATGTTGAGCAGTTGGCCTTTTTTCCAGGTCAAATGAATATCCTGTCGCTTGGCTTTCTGTTATTTCCCCCGTAATGCCATCACTGGTGACTGTCTGCAGGTCTCAGAATTAAAATGTCATCTGGACCCCAATTTGAACCCATTTTTAATTGATAAATGAGTGCACGGTATAGTTCGGGACTTTTATCTTTATCAAAGAATTCCTGTTGCGCGTAGCAGGCGTGTGGTAACGTGGATGTACAGATCCTCGGAGCCTCCTAGAGGGATCCGTGTCCTGGGACGCCTGGCACCCCATCCAGGTTAAAGTAGCTGACCTGTCAGTCCACCACTCCACCAGGTTCATTCCTCGTAGCTAAGTTAAGCCACAATGGAGAGCCAGTTAACTCTCATTGTCACAGATGTGGGACTTCTGTCGGTCAGGACAGGCTTGGGAAGGCTGAGGTAACACACAGTTCCAGGATCTTGGTGACCTAAACAGACAAAGGAGTGTTCTGGCTCATGTTCCACGTTCATGGGAGCTGGGAGCTCTGCTCCCCACGGAGTGGGATAGTTGGGTCAAATGGTGGTTCAATTCCAAGTTTTCTGAGGAATCTCCATGCTGTTTACCAGAGTGGTTGTGCCAATTTGCAGTCCCACCAGCAGTGTGTGAGTGTACCTTTCTCTCCACATCCTCACCAATATTTATTGTGACTTGCATTCTTGATAATTGCCATTCTGGCTGGAGTAAGATGGAATCTTAGTTTAGTTTTAATTTGAATTTCTCTAATTACTAGAGATATTGAACATTTTTTCATATATTTGTTGACCAATAATATTTCTTCTGTAAAGTGCCTGTTCAGTTCCTTTGCCTATTTAGTGACTGGGTTATTTGGGGTTTTGGTGTTAAGTTTTTTGAGTTCTTTATATATCCTGGAGATTAATGCTCTATCTGAGGTGCAGGTGGCAAAGATTTCCTCCCATTCTGTAGGCTCTCTCTTCACATTCTTGTTTCCTTTGCTGTGAAGAAGCTTTTTAGCTATTTATTGATTCATTTTTAAAATGTGTTATTGTATTTTTTATACCTTTATCTATTTTTATGTGGTGCTAAGGATGGAACCCAGTGCCTCACGTGTGCTAGGCAAGTGCTCTTCACTGAGCTACAACTGTGGCCCCCATTTATGGATTCTTAAGTTTACTTCTTACGCTTTAGGAGTCTTGTTGAGGAGTCTGTTCGTAAGCCAACAGGATGGAGAGTTGGGCCTACTTTTTTTCTAGTCGGTGCAGGGTCTCTGGTCTAATGCCTAGGTCCTTGATCCACTTTGAGTTGAGTTTTGTGCAGGGTGAGAGATAGGGGTCTGATTTCATTCTGCTACGTATGGATTTCCAGTTTTCCCAGCATTATTTGTTGAAGAGGCTATCTTTTCTCCCATGTATGTTTATAGTGCCTTTGTCTAATATGAGATAACTGTATTTATGTGGATTTGTCTCTGTGTCTTCTATTCTGTACCATGTCTGTTTTGGTGCCAATACCATGCTGTTTTTGTTACTATAGCTTTGTGGTATAATTTAAGGTCTGGAATTGTGATGCCTTCTGCTTCACTTTTCTAAGAATTGCTTTGGCTATTCTGTGTCTCTTATTTTTCTGAATGAATTTCATGACTACTTTTTCTATTTCTATGAAAAACGTCATTAGAATTTTAATAGGAACTGCA